AGGGGGGGGGGGAGGAGGCGGCGGGATGGGGGGTAACTTACCTCCTCCTCCTGCTTCCTCCTCTGCCTCATGTGTGGAGGTCCCCCCCCCGAGTATCGTGGGTCCCGCCCCTTGTATTTATATAGTAGCCGATATGTTCCTCACTATTGACCTCTGAGGAAGGCCTATGTAGGCCGAAACGCGTCAGGTCAGATTTATAAGCCCTTGTGTTTTATCGTTTGTTATTTATACATAACATGTGATTGGGCCCTTATATAATTTTAAAATTTGTGATTAATAAATACATGTATTTTTAAATATATTTCCTTCATTAAGTTTTTAATATTGGCCCCCTTTCTTGCATTCAACTAAACTTTGTCAGGTTCTGGATCCCGTGTGTAAAGAACCTGAAACTCTGGCCCAAAACCTCTTGAATTTATTTAGGACAGTTTGCTTGGTATAGTTGTTCCCATTGGTTGTTAAAGAACTCTATCTTCTTCTTTTTCGTGCTCTCTTGTAGCCGTTTTTTTACCTGAAAATACTTTGCGAGGAGGGCAGGATCATTAGAAGTTCGAAATTGGCTGTAGATATTACGTAATTGAGATTTTAGTGCTCTGCACTCTGCAGGATACCAAAATTTGACGCCCCTTTTACTCTTTTTGTAGCGTGATTAGAATTTGTACAAAGTACCTGAGAGGAATGTGAAATCAAGGTATTATATACTGAAATCTTTAGAGTAGGCTCCATATTATCAATCAGAGAGGCCCTAAGGTCAAGAGTAGGTCTGAGTTTAAGTAAACTGGAAGTTACCTGGGTGGAATGGGTTGTTCCACAGGATTTTTGGTAAGATTTCTGGCTCAGAGGACGGGGTAGTAAATAGGGAGGGAAAGTCAGCAAAAGAGCTAGTTTTGAGAGTTAAGATCAGGGGAAGGTGATCATTAATAGTGTAATCCCCTACCTCAAAATTCAGAACACGAGGTTCCAAAACGGGACACTAGAAAGTAATCAATTACGCTACTTCCTTTTGTAGAAATAAATGTGAATTCACTGGCTGTAGGAAAGCAGGCAAGTCCATTCAGCCATAATCTATTAAATTGGAGACAAAATTTAGTAAGATGTATACCAGCCGAGTGTATATGGTAATCTTTGGACAGCCTTTCTAGGGAGAAAAAAGGGGGAAGGGTGTCATTCTGGTTAAGTTCACGAGCTCTAAGAAAAACTGAGTGACCTTTTCCTACTCTTGCGTTAAAGTCCCCAGCCAAAATAATTTCAGCTGAGGGAAATTTCCTCTCTAATGTTTCCACAAGGGTGGATAACCGTTCCCAATGTTGTTAAAGGGCATAGCTATCTAAGGAGGAGAGCACATATAAATTCATAATAATCAAAATAGAGACCATGTTCCTCTATAAACCTCACAATTGTTATTCTGGTCTGAGGATGAAAATGTGTTAATAAGGACTGGAACTGAATCACTGTACTGTTTGGGAGAGTGGATTGTGGAGAATTAACAGTGCCTTCCGAAGTGAAGTTACACCCTTCCTAAGTCAACGGAAGTCTTAGAAGAGCCTTAGAAGAGTTTAATCCTGTTTAGAAATAGAAGAAGAAGAAAGGTAGTTTTTTGTGCTCAGCCTTTCTCTACCCTAAGGAGTCTCAAAGTGGCTTACAATCACCTTCTTTTTCTCTCCCCACAACAGTTACCTTGGGAGGTAGGTGGGGCTGAGAGAGTTTTGAGAGAACCGTGACTGGCCCAAGAGCACCCAGCCAGTAGACTTCATGCGGAGGAGGAGTGGGGGAATCAAACCCAGTTCTACAGATTCGAGTCCACCACTTTTAACCACTATACCATGCTGGCTCTGAGAGGGTTGGAACCATTCAGGGATCCCAGACAGGAGTTTTGACCCTTTAAGCCTTTCTGACCACGTCTGCTTCATTTTGTTTAGAACTGAATCAGAAAGACTTGGATAAGCTTACTGTAGCAGTGAAGTATCCTGCAAAGAAGAAAGTGGAAATATATTTACCAGACAAAGGAAAAGCTTCCACTTCAGTTAAGGAAGGCTCTGGACAGAACTCAGTGGCTTCCAGGTCCCCAAAGGAGGCAACGAAAGGTGAGAGTTTGTGGGTAATGTGAAGGCCCAGTGATGCCGATTATTCTTTCCTAGCTTGCACTTAACACTTGTCCCTGTTTGTGCTTTACTTATACTCTTGATCTTGGGGCAAAGGCTTCCAGCATAAAGTGAAGAGCATCAGAGTGGGCCCTCATCTTCAAGCCGTATACTAGACTTGAGAGTGCCACAGGATATTTTCGCTGCAACAGGCTGGAATGGTTTTATCATTTGGGAATTTGTTTCCAAAGGATATGAGGAGTTCTTTGGAAAGCTTTGCGACAAAACCTGCCAGTCGGGTTCTCTTAAAAGAGTGAGCTGGGTGGGAATTTGAAACCCAGTGTTCTAGCCTCTACACCACACTCTGCCACTGTTCAAAAAAGAAGAGCGCCTGCTGTCAGTTGTCATTAGGGCAAATGTTTTACCACTTGGCCCGTCCCAATTCTTGTTCCTCTCTTCTGCCTCTATCAGGATTAAAGACAGTTTGTGTATATTTTATTTATTTATTTTATTGGATTTGTATCCCACCCTCTCCGCACAGCAGGCCAAGGGCAGGTTCCATGAAATGTGATATGCGGTAATTTTAAACCGTTTACATCAGATAAGATACAGTGCAAATTGTGTATGTCCCATCAGAAGAAGAGAAGAAGAGAGAGAGAAGAGATTGGATGTATTCCCCGCCCTTCACTCGGAGTCTCAGAGCGGCTTACAAACTCCTTTCCCTGCCCCTCCCCACAACAGACACCCCGTGAGGTGGGTGGGGCTGAGAGAGCTCTGACACAAACTGCTCTTTTTCAAGGACAGCTGTGCCAGAGCTTGTGACTGACCCAAGGTCACATCAGCAGGTGCAAGCGGAGGAGTGGGGAATCAAACCCCGTTCTCCCAGATTAGAGTCCACACACTTAACAGACATGTAACCTATCACAATTGGGTTCCAGATATTACTCACATCTGATCCACTGAAGGGGAAGCCCAATAGGCAGATAAAAAAGAGGACGCCCGTTGCCTCAACCAACTAAAAGCCTGGTGGAAGAACTCCATCTTGCAGGCCCTGCGGAACTGTAGAAGGTCCTGCAGGGCCCTGATACAGCAGCCTATTCATCTACACTTCTTATTTCTTGGTTGTGCATCCTGGTTTTCAGTCTTATCTTACAATCATGGTCCTTAACACACACACACACACACACACAGACTCACTCGCAGCTCCATTCCCAGTGTTCGCTTACCCGTATACATTTGGCAGGGTAAAGGTGTGCAGGATGAAGAAGCCGTCCAAGAAGAGAGGCCTGTGCTGTCCCATTCAACCTGAAATAAACTTAGTTGCAGACCTTGCGGTTTGTTGGCAATGGCATTCTGAATCAGAGTGCCTAATCATGGTCCTTAACACACACATATATACACACACACAAACACACTCACTCCCAGCTCCATTCCCAGCGTTAGCTTACCCGTATACATTTGGCAGGGTAAAGGTGTGCAGGATGAAGAAGCCGTCCAAGAAGAGAGGCCTGTAGCTGTCCCATTCAACCTGAAATAAAGCTAGTTGCAGACCTTGTGGTTTGTTGGCAATGGCATTCTGAATCAAGAGTGCCTGTCACCTGCCAAACACGCATCCAGGCGGACTCCAAAGCTTAGAGGGAACATTGCTGTCACCTGCCAAACACACATCCAGGCAAGGGTTGCTGCTGTTTCACATGGTTTGACACAGTGTGCATGTTGCTGAACTTTAACAACGGCAGCTCAGTATTTCCACAACAGGAAGGACCCCCCTTTAATTAATTTTTGTTTGTTTGGGGGGGGGGGTCTGTCATCCTGCTACCCTGACTCCCAGGAGGGTCCTCAGTGGAAAGAGGATGGGCTTCTGAATGGGCCCATTGGGGTCGCAGCTGTACAGTGGCAGTGCAGCTTTTGAGTGAGTGCTCCATGAAAATATGCTTGAATATCTTCAAGGGAGGCCTCAGGGGTTCACTTGGGACCTGGCAATGTCCGAGAGATGCCGTTAGCGTGATCTGTAGTTTGTGCAGGATGATCTGCTTGGAACCCTTGTGGCTGCCCGTCTAAGAAACGAACATTTGTGTTTGGTTTGTTGGTAAAGCAAAATCCAGTTCTCGCTCTCCCAAGAAGAACAAGATTGCCTCTGTGACTCCTTTCCCAGAGGGGGAGATCCTGACGGACCAGAGTGACAAGCAGTGGAAGCTTGTGAAACTTCTGAGCCAGTCTGACTTTGGGCTGATGTATGAAGGTACAGAATATGCTTGCATTGCTTTGTGCTGGGGAGGGATGCTCTATGCCTGACTCTCTAATTTGTGCTAAGGTTGAAAATGAGGCTCCGTTGCCATAGCATGCAGGTGAATTGCACCATTCCTGTAGACAGGCTTAATAATGTCTTCCTGTGTCCCAACATACATCCTGCATTGCCAGCAGTTGTTCGGAAACTGTGCCAACTGTTTCCCAGAACTCATTGCTCTGGTGACAGTGGTCCTAAAGAGATTTTGCGAATAAAGGATGCTGGGAGAGAGAAGGTATCTTTGAAGCTGCTCCTCGCTCGGGTTGAAAAGTTTCCTTCATTTTGACTTTTTCGGGGATGTTGTTTGCACAATAGGGAAGGAAAGGCAACCTCCTGCCCATTTTCCCCACAGTGGATGTGTTAATAATGTCTGGTGTGTTGTAGTGCTTGAAGAGCATTCACAGTGCTTCACCGACTTTTACTGTGCATTTCTAAAGTGCCGAGGATTAGGCCTGGTTCCATTGGGTGACATGGAGGGGTGTTGCTGTACCCTGATTCTATAGAGAACAGAAAGCAGATTCCCTGGGTCCACTGGAGCCACTTCTCAAGTCAAGTTTATTAATACAGTCAAGCGACCAGTCAATTTAAAACATTCCCAAGAAGAATAACAATATAAGTTACATAGTAAATACCTACATAAAATTCAAATGGATATATAAAAGAACATTAAAACAAATGCGGGAGCAACACAGTATATCTAGGATACCCAGCTTCCTCTTTTTAAGAGCCAGGAAGCAAAATTTTGCCACGGCTAAAGATATCCTCTCTTTCCGGTCTTCCAGCAGAAAAGTTAAAATCCTCAATTTTGCAAATTTCAGCTGGGCATCCAAGGGTTTAAATTTGGACAACAATGGGAAAATTAGCAGCTGTCTCTCCCTAGCATAAAAATTACAATGCAACAGAATATGTGAGACCGACTCTATTTCAAGATTTGTACAAGGGCAACATCTTTGGGAAATAGGCCAACGCAGGAATCTTCCAGGAGCAACTGTGTGCTGTCAGTATCTGTGTCTTTGGCTTACAGTTACCCATGGCTTTCCTCTGTACATGTTTTGCTGAAACTTTCAGGATCATCTCTGGTCTGGGCTCTCACGCTGACTTATTGTACCTAGAGTGCATGGTGGCAGCTAGGCTCTCGGGGTAGAGTCTTGTTGATGTGGTTAAAATTCACCAGCAGAAGTCTGGCCATTCTAAAATGAGCTGGGAGGAGGCATGGCATTGTGGTCTGTCCAGGTGAGGGATGGGGACCTCTAGAAGCCCTGGGCCATGGCGTATTCATGTCAGGCCCAGCACACAGGACCACTTCCTCCCTCCCACATTACTGATTCGTAACCTTCATTCACTTCATCCTCCCACAGCGGAGTCGGCATCTGGAGCCTGCCATCAGAAGCAGAGGTTCTCCCTCAAACTTGTGAGTTCAGTTCTGGGAGCTGAGTATCATGTAGAACATTCCATGTACTGGTTCTTGTGCTCAAAGTTGCTGGCTGTCCCTGTAAGTGCGAGAAACCCTCTGTGGTGCCCATCTGAGCTTTACCTTCTGTCAGTCCCCAAGATCCACATCCAAATTACATGCCTGTAGAACGATTGAGCTGCGGTGGCTCAAGTGGTTAAGACGCTGAACTGCAGGCTGTGGAAGGTCAGTAGTTCAGCAGTTCGAGACCCGAGTTGCCGCATGATGGAGTGAGCTCCTGTCTCTAGTTCCAGCTCCTGCCAACCTAGCAGTCTGAAAGCAAGAAATTGCAAGTAGATAAATAGGGACCACTTCAGTGGGAAGGGAACAGCATTCCGTGCACCTTGGTGTTTAGTCATGCCGGCCACATGACCACGGAAACGTCTTCGGACAGCGCTGGCTCTTCGGCTTGGAAACGGAGATGAGCACCGCAACCCTAGAGTCAGACTCAACTGGCTTTCGAGCAAGGGAACCTTTACCTTTACCTTTTAGAATGATTCTGGGGATGTAATCAGTTTTCATCATTTTTTTAGCAAAAAATTGTGGGTCTGTTTGTTTGCTTTGCCGTCTGGTGCCACTTCTTGGGCATTCCTCAGAAATGCAGGGGCTGACTCGGCTACCACCAGAAAAACCCAAAACATAAAAGAAAACCAGCCTGGCATGATGGTTGAACTATATTTAGGCGATCTCATCCACCACCACCACCATTTGGATGCAAGAGCCTTTAAGCTCGGTCCCTTGAAGACACTGCTGCCATCGCTTTTCTTTGCTTCTGTCCCCTTCAATCTGCTTCACCAGTCACACCCGTAAGAAATTCAGAGGGAGGAACTCAAAACCAGACCCTTGTTTTACAAGAGCGACAGGGATCCCAGGGTCAAGGTGTGCAGGATGGGCCTGCCACCTGCTTAGGAGATGTCCCACTGGCTGAATGTTAACATGCAAAGAAGTATGGAATTAAGGTTTTGACACAGCTTCCTAAGGACTTGGACCAGAGCAGGACCTGGGGCTTGGCAGAACGCAAGACAGACTGTTGCACAAGGACTCGGAACTTCTCTTTCCCCAGAGGGTGGCAGTAAAAATGATTGTTTTGAGGGAGGGCTATCATTAGGGTGTGATCATACAGACCAACAAGTAGGGCAGGCTAAGCAAGGCCAAGGGAAGAATCAGTTCCAGCACTCGCTGATACACAGTGCAAATTCTAAGCCTATTTGCTGCCTGCCAATTTGTTTAATTACCTTGCTGAATGTAAGACATCGTAGATTGTTGGTTTTTGTGGGTGTGGTAAAGAGCAGAGTGCAGACACAGGTGTGGTCAAAGTGGTAACAGAAGTCTGGTGCTAGGAATTAAGTATTTAAGATGAGTGGGAACTGTGTGAGGCACAGTGCCTTCCACTCTGACCACCTGGGGAACCTCCCCAAGGCCCTCTTTGGTTTCAGAATACCATGTCTGCATGTTTTTGTAATCCAGTCACAACTTTGTAGACGAGAAGCTTTTTAAAAAACCATTAAGTACAAAAGCAGACTGAGGGTCCTAAGTGCATGACCCTTATGCAGGCGATTAGAATACTATCCTCACTGTATGTTTGTTACGCTCGCTGGGAAGGCATCCCCGGTGGCATTGAAAAGGCCCTCTCTGCAGAAGACCAGAGCTCCAGTATTAGTGCGTCTGTTTTGCTTTATCCACTGTGCCGTATATTGATTTCCCCCATTTGTTGGCATGCATCGGCAAGTTCCTTTTGAGTGCTAAGGAACAGTGAGGGAACAGTCACTTCCTTAATGTCGTCTGGGAGAAATTGGTGGGCGCGAGACTGTTGGAAGATCTATTAATGCCAGCTTCTGCCCCCATCCCTCCCTCCTCCTCAGGATACTAAAGATGGACGGGTCTTCAACGAGCAGAACTTTCTGCAGCGGGCAGCAAAGAAAGTCACGGGTAAGATTTTGCTCGAGTAATTTATGGGTGACAGAGCTATGTCTCTCCACCTTTGGCCTGGTAGCATTTTGGGGCAGTTTACCTATTTTGGGGGTGGAAGGGGGGGAGCTGTGAATGCTCAGCCTGTCCAAGATGTATCCTCTTGCTCTTGCTCCCTGGCAGTGCACCCTAACGGGACTCAGTCTCGTGTCGCATTGAGCATCGCCCAGCAACTATAAATGTTTTCCTACATGTGTTAGTCATTTGCTACTATCTGTGAGCGAGGTCTGTTCTATAGACACGCAGCCCAAAAGGCAAGGCAAGGCAAGGCTGCCTGGTGGTGGTGTGGCGGCCTGTGCATATTCCCAGGAATGACCCCCAACTTCTCTGTACTTGGTTGGGGGCTCAGCATACATGATGCAACAGGGGCAGGTAAAGATTCAACTGTAGCACTACCAGACTGGGCGAGGGGCAGTGGGGCTTGTCTTACTGCCTCTTCGTTCTCAACAGCCCTTTCCCCTTGGACTTTGTTCTACCAACAAGTTGGATCCTTAAAGCTCTGTTGATGTTGTGTCTGATAGGTAAAAGGGGAGGGATGGGTCTCCGAGTAGTTTATCCTTGCCTATCCAGACAAGCCTTCGTGAATGAGATCTACTCGAGCATTTATTGATTGATTTTATTCGATTTGTATCCCGTCCTTCCCGCCAGAGTACCTATTGGTCACCTTTTGTGTCCCCTTACAGTAGAAAAGTGGAAGAAACAGCACTCGGTACCATTGCTGGGAATCCCCAATTGCGTTGGCTTTGGCCTCCATGGTAGTAACTACAGGTGAGGGCCTGAGGAGTTTTCCATGTATTACCTCTCCTATTCCTGCCCGTATCCTGCTCTTTGTTCCAAGGTATCCCCTCCCCACCACCCAGTCTTACATTTCCTTCACTGGTCCCCTAGGTCCCTTCTAATGCTTACTTGCCTTTTGCTATCCTCACTTGCATGTCCACAGAAAGGCTGTAGCTGAAGACTTGAGGGTTCAAGAATGACACAAGACACAGCTCTGCAGAATCTGTCTGACTCAGACAGCAGCGTTTTATTAAAAAAAACCCCTCCTTTCCTTCCCCCTGCTAGGTATATCGAAAGCTTCATGCATACAGTGAACAAAACTAACAGGAATGTGCTGTGCAGACAGCCCACCTCTTATCTGCACTCCACCGTCAGGTGAGCTCAGCAGAGCTCAGCAGATGTTTACCGGTACCTAGCACAGTAATTCCCTTATCTCCCTGTGAAGACATAAATCTCCGGGCATGCCTCCAGAGAGTGCCGTCCCCACATGTAGCCTCATTGTTTTCTTTGTTTTCTTTATTATCTAACTTGCCACTGTTTTCATCCTTCTATCTTTCTTTTTTGCCAGAAGACATCTTTACTGTTTTCTGGTAATACTGAGTTTTGTACGTTCAGTTCTAGGAGGGAGGGCATCTAACCCTGAAAGGCTGTGGCTGCAGTAGGGTCAACTGAAACGATGTGCTTCCCATATTTTGGCCATTCTGTTTCTGTTTCCAGCTCTAAGATCCAGGGTGGCAAAGTGGTTAGAGGTATCTCACTAGAATCTGGGAGACCTAGGTTAGACTCCTTCCTCTGACATGAAGACTGCTGGTTACTCTCACCTGGATAGCGTAGGCAAGCCCGATACTGTCAGATCTCGGAAGCTAAGCAGGGCTAAGAGGCAGGAGTAGCAAGCCACCTCTCTGAAAAACATCCAGGCCCCAGTAGGGGTCGCTGGAGATCACCATGACTTCCAGGCATGCAAATAAGGAATTCCAGGCATGCTACAGGAAGTGGTGGCGGCTACAAGCATGGACGGCTTCAAAAGGGAATTAGATAAGCCTATGGAGCAGAGGTCCATCAGTGGCTATTAGTCACAAGGTATAGATAGGGGCTCTGGGGCAAGTGATGCTCTGTCTTCTTGGTGCTTGGGGGGGGGGTTCAACAGTGGGAGGGCTTCTAATGTCCTGGCCCCACTGGTGGACCTCCTGATGGCACCTGGTATTTCTGGCCACTGTGTGACACAGAGTGTTGGATTGGATGGGCCTTTGGCCTGATCCAACATTGGTATCTCTTATGTTCTTATGTTAAGTACATAGAAGCATGTACACACACTCCTCTATCTCTCTCGCGCACACAAACATATACTAAAAAAAAGATTGCTGGGTTACTTTGGGCCAGTCACACACTCTCGGCCTAAGCCACCTCACAGGGTTGTTGTTGTAAGGATAGGATGGAGGAGGAACAACCTTGCATGCTGCTTTTCGCTCCTCGCTGGGGAGAAAAGCACTGTGTGAGAAAGTAAATATAAGGGGACCTGAAGAAGAGTCCTGTTGAGGTGGGTGAAATGGGGGGATGCTTTGGAGACCTCTGGCAAAAGTGTGGTTCGTCTGCAACAGTCTCCACTCTGATCCGCAGGTTCCTGGTCTTCTCTAATTTGGGTCGGTCCCTCCAGTCAGTCCTGGACGATGGTGCCAGCAGGTTGACGGAGAAAGCCGCCTACCAGATTGCCATCAGGCTGGTACGGGATGCCGGAAAAGGCAGGGAGGGAGTCTCAGAAAGGCCTGTTGCCGAATTTTTGCCCAGCTGTAAAACAGAGGATGTCTGTCATTACAGGCCAGTTTCTGGAGCAGGGGCTTGTGGGAGATTGCCCTGCTGCTGCAGCTGCAGGAGGGAATTAGTGGGTTAGAGTTCCATCCCTTAGAGCGAGGCAAGCATTGCAGCGTTGCCATTTTTCTCCTGCCTTTAGCTGGATGTGCTGGAGTTCCTTCACGAGAACGAGTACTGCCACGGGGATATCACTGCAGAGAACATATACGTGAATCCAATGGATCTATCTGAGGTAAGGAGCATTCGGGAAACGTTTGTCGCTGGAGAGAATTCCTGTAGAGCTGGAGGTCCTAAGGCTTCCCTTGGTCAAGGGAAAAGCCCAGCTACCCCCAAGTGTAGGTGCTGAAGACTTAAGCCCGGCCATTGATTCAGTACTTGACTCTCCCAAGTGGTTTCTGGGTGGGGGGTGTGAGTCCCCCTCCACTAGCGAGCGCTGGCTCTTTTGTAGGGTTTGGGGGATGGTGCCTGTCACAGCAGGGAACCTGAGTGAGGAAGGGGAAAAGGAGCTGCAGATTCTCACGGTGTCGGGTGAAAGGGGTCACCGGCCCAATGTTCCCTCTAAGCTGCGGAGTCTTGTGAGCAGAAATCCTACTTTGTGAGCTGCTGGCCTTAAAGTTGTGTGAGCCAGCGATTTGGCTGCCGCATGAATTAGTTTGCTCTGGAGCCCATCCCTTCCTGAGCGAAGACAAAAATGTGTGGGCTGGAGGCTGAAAAACTGTGAGCTGGCTCACACTGACTCGGCTTAGAGGGAACACTGGACTCACCGCACTTCCTGGTTGAATCGGTTCTGACCTTAGCTCCTTCCAGGCGATCACAGAGATAGGGACGGGGACTTCAGGGCACAGGCCAGTCATGCCGGCCACATGACCACGGAAACGTCTTCGGACAGCGCTGGCTCTTCGGCTTTCAAACGGAGATGAGCACCGCCACCCTAGATTCGGATTCAACTGGCTTTCGAGCAAGGGAGACCTTTACCTTTTTTAACTGGATCAAAGGCAGTTTCACCTGCCAGGGCCCACCGGATAGCTCTCCCTCTGGTTCCTGTCGAGCTTCTGCGGCAACCCGTTCTGTGCTTCCCTTTTCTTCCTTCCCCAGCTCACCCTGGCGGGCTATGGCTTTGCTTTCCGATACTGCCCAGGGGGGAAGCATGTGCCTCAGCGGGAGGGCAGCAGGACTCCTCACGAGGGCACTCTTGAGTTCATCAGCCTGGATAGCCACAAAGGAGCTGGTGAGATTTCAGCACTGGGGGAACAGACTGGTGTGTGCATGTTGCATGGGTCATTGGGTCAACACCTCCCCCTGCCTGGTCTGGGGCTTTTTCCCCTGTACCTTTGATGATGTTATCTGTCTGAGCATCAGGCCCTCCTCTAGACAGTTTTCTCACCCCTCCTGCCGTGGAATCTCCCCTTTGTCCCCTCTGGGTAAAGGGCTTGCCACCCACTGATGTGAGCAGAAGCCAGTCTATTTATTTTTTATTTATTATTTATTTTTTAAATTTCTATCCCGTCCTCCCCGAAGGCTCAGGGCGGCTCGCAAGGGGCATAAATGCCAAAAGTTAAAACAATAAAACAACACAAGACAGTATAACATACAATAAATACAATTCACTACAAATTCCTTCCACGGTGCTCCAAGGATATTTAACTACAGATTCAAGATGGGGTTCCAAGATAACGTATGCTAAGCAACAACAGTAATGGTAATAATATACAGTAACAACAATATACGTCCCTACAGTGAGTTGTCCAGTGCACCTTCCCCTTCACGGTCCCATAAAAAAGATAATCTTTTCCTCTGTGCTCCTGTCCTCCCTCTGGGTGTTTATTGGAGTCACGAGCTTTTATTGATAAGATACACAGTGCTGTTCTTTGCAGAGTAACCTCTGCATAGGGAGTGTGCTGTTAATTAATGAAAGTTTTTGATTCATCAGTGCAGACCAGTTTTAATCACGGGGGTTGTGAGTTAAGAGCATGTTTATTTATTTACCGGGGGGGGGGGCTGTATTGGTTCTGTATTGGTACAGAGAATGAAAAAAAAATGACTTTTCCTCTTGATGGGGAGAGAGAGAACTCAGAGCTTGAGAACAACAGCTATTTTACTCTTTTTTTAATACCTTGGAAAGGCAACCATGTAAATGTATAGGTAGTACAGGGGTCATTTCCTGCAGGAGCGCACAGGAGCGGAGCTCCGGCAGTAAAGAGCCCAGGGGGTTGGCACATGCAACAAGCCCCGCCCCCTGCTCCCAGAAGCCCTCAGTCAAAGCAAGAAGCAGCCAGGTAAGCTGCAGAGCTCCCCCTGGCCCCCCGGTCCAAAACAGTCCAGTGGCACCTTTAAGACCAGGTTTTATTCAGGTACAAGCTCTCCCTCCTCTGTGAGGGCAGATCTGCACATTCCCCCCCCCCCCAATAGGCAGCAATCCAAAACAGTCCAGTGGAGCCTGAGCGGTGGCTGTTGCCTTCTGACACACTTCCGGTGATGTCAGGGGTGTGTGGCCTATGCAAATAAGTTATGCTAATGAGTTATGCTAATGAGCTCCTGCACCTCTTTCTCTACAAAATGACCCCTGAGGTAGTATATGTAATTAATCAGTCAACCAGCCAACAGCTCTACTTTAAAAAAAAATGAAACTTATAGAAGGAAGGCTACACACAGAGAGGTGTTCTCAGCTGTGTCACAGCAGTAGGTCTGAGACTGGCTAAAGCTTGAGGCTGTGGCCTTGTTCTGGAAAATGCTACAGAACCTGTGGACTGTCTGGTGCTTAGACTAGATCAGACATAAAAAGCCATTTATCAAGGTGCATGCTCGGCCAGCGGCTGCACTGCATGGGGGGGCTGTGTGCTTTCTTGCCTCTCCTCTGTGCGCAGAGCTCCGGAGCCCTGCTCTCAGAGGTTTCACACATGGACGTGTGTTCTCTGTCTGCCTTGTTAGCCCCATCCCGTCGGAGTGATCTGGAGTCCCTGGGTTACTGCCTTGTGAAGTGGCTGCGTGGCTTTCTTCCCTGGTCGGAGGAACTGACAAATCCCTGTGAGGTCATGGAGAAGAAAGAGAGGTAAGTGCTGTGCACGGGTGAGGATCTCCCTTTTGTATTGTTTTGTTCCTTTGCTTTTTAAAGCAAGGGTCTCTCTCCTTTCTTACGAAGTGGAGGTTGGAGGTGTTGAGTAGGACTGGGAAAGAGGATTGCAAAGGGGTAGTTGTGAAAGTCTGTTGTAGTAAAACAGAAGTCCAGTGGCACTGTGAGCTTTTGTGAGTCACTTCTTCAGCTATGTATGGAAATCAAACTGAGAATCCTTATGGGGCAGCTTATGAGGAATGTAGATTCACTGGGGGTGGGGGAACAGGTGTAATCATCATAAAATGTGACCTCTCTGTATGTCTGAAACTGAATTAGGAATTACAGTAAATGGGTGAGGAGGGAGATCCGTGGTTTGAACAGATAAGCGATGATAAATTTAAATGGAAATTTGATGATATTGAAAGTTATAGGTGGATAAAGCATGCTAAGAGCAGCCAATTAGAATCTCTGTAAATCGGGTCTTGCAGAGTAAGGTGCAAAATACGACCAGGATATTCAAGCAAGTATCCCACATGGGTTTCTCACTGTGAGTTATAATAGCCATCAGGGTTGGCTGTTGTCCTGTGGGGCCCCCTGGGTCACTGTCAATGTTCCCTCTAAGTCCTGTGAGCAAAAAGTCTACTTTGTGAGCTTCTGGCATTAAAGTTGTGAGCGAGCGATTTGGCTACTGCATAAATTAGTTTGCTCTGGAGCCATCTTTCCTGAGCTGAGACAAAAATGTGTGAGCCAGAGGCTAGAAACCTGTGAGCTAGCTCACACTAACTCAGCTTAGAGGGAACTCTGGTCACTGTCCTGGGTCTGCCCCCTTCTGGACTTCATACTTCCCCTTCCCTTTTGGTCTGGAAGCTGTTGGGTGGCCCATCTTGTTCCTTGTCTGTTAAGATCCCTAGGCTAGCAAAAAAAACACACCACCCACCAGCTACTGGCCTCGACGGGAGGGATAGTACCGGAGGTGAGTGTCAACCAGCTGTTTGGCAGGCGTCATCAAGGCAGCCACCGGGGCAAATACCACGCTTGTCCAGTCAGTGGGGCAGGCTTCAGTGTCCTGTTGAACTGCATCTCTCAGGCGTTCATCATTTTTTGGGGGGTGGGGCAGTAAGCAGGAAGGGGGAGAATGCTCATCTCAGTCTAATCCTCCGTTCTCGTCTTTTCCTGGCCTTGTAGGTATAAAGCTGATATTATCAAGAATCGAAAACCGTTCTGTGGCGGGAGAGCAATTCCAGGTACACTTGTTTGTTTGTTTGCTACATTTGTATCTCAGTCTTCATTGATGGGTCTTCTTGTGGGGTGTGCTGGAGACGTATCTCATTTTATCCTTGAGCTTTGTGTGTGAATGGGGAATTCAGGCCTCATATTCCTGCATCAAGATTCATCAGTTCCCTCAGTAATACCATCCTGGCTGTCTTGTAGGAGAGACCCAGGTCTGGGGATTGGCAGGGGGCTTTCAGATGCCTTCTGTAACGATTTCATGTTTAACTCTGTGTGTGTGTCTTTAAAAGTTTGGATGCATGGCTGTATGAAAGTCTAGAGTAGTGGAAACAAGCAAGTGGTGTGATTGGTGAGTGACAGAGAGGGGGAGGGGTTTTGGAAATGATTCTGTGTGGATGAGCAGATATGTCAGTCAAGAGTTACAGTTAAGACAGTTAGTGAGATGACAGTTGTTAAGTTAAGCTATGTATGAGTTGAAGGAGACTCATCCCTGTGTGGGATAATTTGGTTCTGTGTAGTAAAAGAGTTAAGCAGTTTGTTCGTTTTAAGGTCTGAGAGAGAGAAGCCGTCTGTGTTGAAACAGTTATAAGCTGAAGCTGAGTGTCTAGGAAACAGTAAAGATTATATGGACTTGGAGGAAAAAGTGATACAAAGTTACTAAAGGAAAAATCCCTGTCAGTAGAGCAGACTGTGTGTTATACCTACTTTACTAGTTACATGGTTCTACCCTTGTATTTATGCTTTCTTTAAATATATCCTATTTCATTCAAGTATACCAGCTCTGGAAAGAATCCTTCCTCGGACCACATAGTTCCTCGAAAGCTTAAACCCTCGATCCACCTACCCTGTGATAGAAATAGTAAAGCATAAAGGTTTGGAAAGCCTTATAAATTTTCTGTTGGCAGCCGGATTACCCAGTAGAGAAAAACATAAAGAACACTTTTAAAGGGAAACCAGACCTCCCCAGTTAAGGGGGCGTCACACCTTCATACTTTTATTTATATTTTATTAAATGTATACCTCCCCTTTCTCCCCAATAAGGGCCCAAAGTGGCTTCTCCTCCTCTTCATTTTATCCTCACAACAACCCTGCAAGGTAGGATAGACCGAGGTTGTGTGACTGGCCCAAGGTCATCCAGCCAGCTTCTGTGGCGGAATGGTGATTTTGAACCCGGGTCTTCCAGATCCTAGTCGATACTCTATCCCAGGGGTGTTAAACCTAAGGCCTGTGGGCCGAGAGTGGCCCGCCCAGGACTTTGATCAGGCCCACGACTCTCGCCACCCCACCCCCTCCCCTGCCTGTCCTCCCTCTTCCAAGGGAGATCGGGGCTGCTGAATTTCCCAGCTGGCTAGGCCTTGTGTTCGCAGTTTCTCCTCCAGCAGTAAGCTCCTCTGGGCTAAAGCACAAAAAAAGCTGCAAAGAGAATGCAGAATGGATTTTCCTTAAAGGTCTCCAGGCCCAGATAGACTACTCTGGGACTGGAATGACAGCCCCAGAGTGGAATGACAGTCCCTGGGAGTAGCAGCTGCATTCTGGGAATGGAACTCCACTCTGGGGTCTGTCATTCCAATCCCAGAGTAGTCTGTCTGGACCCAGAAGCCTTAATAGAAAATCCATTCCGCATTTTCTTTGCAACTTTTTTTGAGCTGCAATGTATTTCAATGGAGTGGAGTTTCAGTTTTCAGTATTTGTATGCCAGTGGAATTTGTCTGCTTGCGAATAAAGGGGCTGATGTATCAGTTTGTGACCCCTTTCTGCTTCCTGCCATTTTTCACATTTAAACCCCTGCTTAAAAAGTGGGGGGTTAAATGGCTCTGAGCTTCTGCTCTGAGCCATTTAAACCAAACAGCTGAGCGGCAGGAAGCAGAAAGCAGGGGTTTAAATGGTTTGGGGCCATTTAGGCCCCTGATTTCTGCTTTTCACAAGCCACCATGAACTGCCTTAAAATTTGAGGAAGTTTGTGGTGGCTCTTTAGTTCGCGAACATCGCTTCACAAACCATGAACCAGCCAAAATTTGTGCTGAACTTTCGTTTGTGAACTGGTTTGTGCCCATCCCTTTTCCTGACCCACAGCAGATAAGCAGTCCTTCAGGGTTCTTGTAGGGCCAGAGCATCCAGTTCTTTTCCCATGAGATGAACACCTCTGTGTGCTGGAAGGGATCAGTGAATCAGTGGATCCTGATGAACCTCAGGAAGGTTTAGCCTCAGGGAAAGCAGCCGCTTGCTTTGCCCAGCAGGAGTGCCAAAAGATTATATCTCCTGGCGTGCAGAAAGCGGGCAATGTGATGCTGCACTAGAACTGAAATTTCTGCCGTTCCCGCTCCGTATTTTCCTGGACTCATTCCTACATCAGTGACTCAGTGATAGTTATTTCTTTGCCTTTATTATTTTAAAATGAACCGATACCCTGTCTTCACACCTCCGGGTGGCTCGCATGCAGTCACCTAAAACATTTATTTTATTATTTATTTATTAAATTATATTTCTAAACTGCCCTCCCATGTAAAACCAGGGCTCAGGGTGGTGTACATCAGTAAGAACATTTATATATTCATTTAAGAATTTAAACAATAACTACAATAAAAATTCAATAACCAGCTTGATAAGATGGTGCTAAGACTACCGATTGTGTCACTGCCTCGAGGGGAGGGGGAGGCAGGAGACAGGAGTGCCAGACCAATGGAAACCATCATTATCCTTAACCAAACTCCTGGTGGAACATTACAGGTCCTGCGGAATTGCATTAAATCCCGCAGGCCCGGATGTTATTTGGCAGAGAGGTCCACCAGGTTGGGGCCAAGCTGGACAATGCCCCGGCCCTGGTCGAGGACAGCCAGATGTCTCTTGAGCCGGGGAGTGGACCACCAGTAAGTTCTTATCTGCTGAGCGCAATGCTCTTCGGGGGGGGGGGGGGGATCCCAAAGATACACGGGCTCCAGACTGTTAAGGGCCTTGAAGGTTAGCACCAGAACCTTGAACCTGATCCGGTACTCCACCTGGAGCCAGTGCAGCTCATGCAGTACAGGTTGAATGTGTGCCGTTCGTGGGGTCCCGATAAGGACCCGTGCTGCCGCATTCTGAACCAGTTGGAGTTTCCAGGTCAGTATCAAATACTGTTCCTTCACAAATACGTTTCCTTCACAAACTACATACCCAGCCCATTGTTAACCAGGGTAGGGTTTCTGCTGCAGGGGGCCACGGTGGAGAAGGCCCTGTCCCGAAGCCTGAGCAGGACCTCAGCAGAAGAGCTTAACAACTGAGCAGGTTCCACGTGGCACCGTGGTTTGTGTGGCGCTGTGTGGGCACATCAGTCTTTGCAGTCCTGCTGAGGTTGGACAGTGTGGGTTCTTTCAGCTCTCCTTTCTTGCTGCCAGAGTTTCCTCATAAGTCCGGTGCAGTTGCTGCCTGTCCACCATGAAGCTTGCTGGGTCCGAAAACGCACGTAGCTTCCTTCCGGGTCAGCTGCTTGCAGAGTTTGGAAGACTTTAGCAGGTGCCTCGATGACGCCGGCTGCTCTGATTTATCTCCCCGATGCCCTGTTCTCAGACGCTGTGCTGCACTACCTGCTGCAAGTGGTGGCCTTGGACTACGAGGAGAGGCCAGACTATGAAGAGCTCCGGATGTTTCTGAGGAAGCCGCTTGAGGCGATGCGAGCTTCCGCCTATGACTCGGTGGACCTCCAAGTGGTACCCTAGGTAATCCGCTGAGGACCTTTTGCATCCTCTTTCCTCTCTCCAGAGTGTGATTTTGGCCTGCCACTCAGCTCTGCAGTGGAGGGGGGCAATTTAAAGTGGAGGAGCGGCCAGCGGGAGAGGGCTGCCCTTGTCCCCCCCCTCTTCCTCTCCATGCATGGGGCTGTGACTCAGTGGAAGTGCCTCTCACCATCTCCATTTAAAAGGACCAGGCAGTAGGTGATGTGAACGATCTACGTCGGAGAGCCATGTTGAGGTGCTGTGGCTCAGTGGAAGAGCCCCTGCCTTGCATTCAGAAGGTCCCCGGTTCAGTCCACGGCATCCCCAGTTAAAAGGACCAGGCAGTAGGTGATGTGAAAGCCCAATTCCCTGGAGAGCCACAGACTCGGGTTGCCCTCCGGCCTTGTTAAGTCCCTTGG